ACCTACCTGGCTCCTCCCCTGCGAGAACCCTGGAGTCAGAAAGACTGTGGACCCCTCAGACAAGTCACTCTCCCTCCCCCACCCCAGAGCCTCGGTTTCCGGTTCTGAGACTTGGGGGGTGATAGTGCCCTCTCCTCAGGCTAGTGCTCCACTGAACGACTGAAGGACGAACGACGGGCAGGTTCTTAGTAACCAGAGTGGTCAGGATTTGCCCACTTCCTCCCTGTTTCTATTACCTTCTTCCCCCCCCCCCCCCCCGAGTCTCTCATTCCTTCTCTGTCTCTGCCACTGTCCCTGGTGCTCATTTTTTCTGTCCCTAGGTCTCTGCATTGTCTCTTCTGGTCACTGTCTTCCTTGTTCTGTGGTGTTGCTGCCCCTCTTTCTTGCTCCTCTGTCTGTCTCCTCATTTCGAGACTGTGTCTCTCCCCTTCCCTTCTGTTCACCTCTGTCACTCTCTCTTTCTGCCTGCCCCTGCCTCCCCCACTGCCATTTGTTCTCTCTTGACTTGTGTCTTTTTTAAACTTAGAGATGTTTTCAAACACAGAATATTCTAACGAATCCTATGTGCCCGTCATCCACCTTCAACTATGAGCCTTTCACCAATCTTTCTTAATCTGTTCTCCCCCAGTTGTTTTCTCAGTATTATTTTAAAGCAAATCCCGGTACACATGCCATTTCAACTCTAAATACTGAAGTGTGCATCTCTTAACTCATAAGGGTATTCACTTTTTAAGGTAACCCCTCAGTCATTTTTACACCTAATAACATTAACACCTTAACACCATCCGTCACTGATTTCATAATCAGATTTCCCCAGTTGTCTTGAAACTGCTTCTGTTAGTTCTCTCTCTCTCGATTCTGCTCTGCTTCCACTGCTTCTTTGCCCAGCACCTCTGACTCTCTGTCTCTGCTCTGTCCCCACGTAGCCTTTCCGTGTCACCCTCTGATTTGGAGGCTGCTGATTTACTGCTGGTGTGGGGAGCGAGTGGGTGGAGAGAAGCATGGCTGTGGGGGGGACCCCGTCCTTGGGGAGCTCTCAGACCAGTGGGTCAGGAGAGGGGACTGGCTGGTAGCCCTTTGTCAGGCAGCTCCCCGGAGGAGGCAGGGCCTCGGGTGCCCAGCAGGCCTCAACACCCTCCCGTCTGCCCCGCCTTCTGCATCCAGGAGGATACACGGGCCCAGCGGCAGCGGCTGCAGAAGCACCTGGCTGAGCATCTACGCCAGACCTGGGGCCGACCGGGGGCTCCCCCACAAGCCCGAGACCTGGGAGAGCTGCTGCAGGCCTGGGGTGCAGGGGCCAGGACCGGTGCTTCCAAGGGCTCCCGCTTTACACACTCAGAGAAATTCACCTTCCATCCGGTGAGTGGGTCCAAGTGGACTCGGGTGGGCTGATAGGGCCGCTCTCTGTGCAGACGACACACTTTATCCACATAGGTTCCCGTGTTCCCACTGGGCGTGCCCTCTCTGCACTGGGGGTCCTCTGGCTCCTCAAGAGCTTCGGTGGAGAAGGGGGGAGGGGTGGGAACCATGTCAGGGTGTAGGGGTGCTCTTTGTGCAAACCCCAGCTTCCCTCGGACAGTTTCCCCTGGACACATCTTCTCTCCTTGACCTAGAGGGGCCCTCATCCTTCTCGTGGGCCCCCTTCTCGTGTCAGGGTCAGGGAGGTTTCTTTCTGAGCAAACAGTCCAGCCTGAGGTCTCAGAGAGTGCCTGGGTCCTCATAAACCCAGCCTGACAGCTGTCAGCAGTTGGGTGGACAGGAGCGTGGTGCTGGAAGGGCACTTGGAGCAGGTGCTGAGGCTGGGAGGGGCAGGGCCTTCTCTGACGGCCAGGATACCCCCGTCTCCCTCCCCCAGGAGCCCGAGGTCCAGGCAGCCCAGGTGTGTGATGTGCCAGCCACCTCCCAGCGGCCTGAACAGGTAAGCCGAGCCGTGGCGGGGGTTCTGGGCCCTTGCCCCGCCTAGTGGGCCTCACACCCCCACCCCTACTGGCCTGTGCCTCCCAGGACACGAGGGCAGCTCAAGAGAAGGAGCTGGAGTCTCTTCGGGAACAGCTGGAGGGAGTGAACCGCAACATCGAAGAGGTCGAAGCCAACATGAAGACCTTGGGAGTCAACCTTGTGCAGGTGGGAGGTGGGGGTGGGGAAGGGGCTGCCCCCCTGGGTTTGGATCATGGTGGGGCCTAGAGGGCCTAGAGGGCCTTGAAGGGACTGAGGGGACTTCGTGGAGGTCTGCCGACGTCAGAAGGGTTCAGAGGCGACCTCGGGGACCTGTGGGCTCTCGAGGGTTGAGGAGAATCAGTGGGGGTGACGGGGATATAGGGTCAGGGGGGTCGGACCTGTGGGGGTTAGGGGCACCCGTGGGCATCGGTCAGGACATGCAGGTGTCTGTGAGAATCAGGAGGGGTGTGAGCATCTGTGGGCATCTGTGGGCGTATGATGGACCTGTCTGGGCAGGGGCTTGTGGGCCTTGTCAGGGCTTCCTGGGGGGGGGGGTCATTGTGGAGGTAGAGGGATCAGAAGGGGGCCTGTGGGTGTCTGTCACTGCTTATAGGTTTCTGTCACCATCAGGAGGGGTCAAGGGGCTGCTAGAGGGTAGAGGGGTGTGTTCTCGTCTGTGGGGGCTCAGGCTTTCCAGGCTCGGTGGGGCCTAGAGGGCTGTGGTGTGTGGCTGGGCCCCTCCACTGACGGGAGTGGGGGTCATGGGCTGCCAGGTGGAGACGGAGCGTCGGCAGAGCGAGCTCAGCATGGCGGAGCGTGAGCAGGCCCTGCGCTTGAAGAGCCGGGCGGTGGAGCTGCTGCCTGACGGGGCTGCCAACCTGGCCAAGCTGCAGGTGGGGCTGGCACTGGGGCTGGGCGGGGCGGCTCGAGTTGGAAGGGTCCAGCCTGTGTGACACAGATCCCCTATCCCCCCACCCCAGCTCGTGGTGGAGAGTAGTGCCCAGCGGGTCATCCACTTGGCAGGTCAGTGGGAAAAGCACCGGGTCCCTCTCCTGGCTGAGTACCGCCACCTCCGAAAGCTCCAGGATTGCAGAGAGGTAAGTTGTGGGGTCCTGGGCTGTGGGCGGGGTGGGTTCGGTCCCTCCCTGGGGGGCCATCCTTGTGCTGTGCTCACTCTCCCTCTGCCCATGGGGTCCTGGCAGCTGGAATCTTCTCGACGGCTGGCAGAGATCCAGGAGCTGCACCAGAGTGTTCGAGCAGCTGCCGAAGAGGCCCGCAGGAAGGAGGAGGCCTACAAGCAGCTGGTAAGGGCCGTGCAGGGGCCCCGGGTGGCTCCGAGTGGGCGGGGGGCTGGGTCCCAGGGGAGTGTCTGCTGTGTTCCTGTCTAGGTGTCAGAGCTGGAGACCCTGCCTAGAGACGTGTCCCGGCTGGCCTATACCCAGCGCATCCTGGAGATTGTGGGCAACATCCGGAAGCAGAAGGAAGAGATCACTAAGGTGCATCGCTGCGGCCGTGGAGGGTTGGGGCAGACGGGCAGACACGCGCGAGGGGCAGGTGCGTGTAGCACGGCCACGTGGGGACCTCACACCCTCCGAAAGGCAGAGCTGCCTGGCCACGCCCCAACACGGAACCCTCCTACCCAGCCCACTCCAGCCACAGCTGACGCGGTGACGCAGGCCCCGTCTGGGTGTGAGCGCGCGCACACGACTCTGCCCTCAGCCGGCCGACCCGGGCCGCACGTGGGCTCATGGCTGCCCTGTTCTCTGCCAGATCTTGTCCGACACAAAGGAGCTTCAGAAGGAAATCAACTCCCTGTCGGGGAAGCTGGACCGGACGTTTGCTGTGACCGATGAGCTCGTGTTCAAGGTGTGGGCTTGGCTGGGCCGGGTCGGGGGGGTGCAGGGGGCAGGCTGGGCTCCCGCCTGCCTATCTGCTCACAGGTTGGCTTGGGCCTCGGCCCAGTGCGAGCCGTGTAGGTACACTGCGGCTCGGGCCTGGCTGTGCGCCACGGAGGACGAAGTCAGGGGAGTGGGAGAGGGTGGCCCTGTGGGGGTCCTGGAGGGGGTATGTGGGGGGGCGTGGGGGAAGCCCACTGGTCCCTTCTGTCTGGTCAGGATGCCAAGAAGGATGATGCCGTTCGGAAGGCATACAAGTATCTAGCTGCCCTGCACGAGGTGGGTGACGCGTGAGGGGTGCTGGCCGGGGTGGGGCGTGGTGGGGGTGCAAGCCTTCTGCTCCTGCCGCCCCCAGAACTGCAGCCAGCTCATCCAGACCATCGAGGATACAGGCACAATCATGCGGGAAGTTCGAGACCTTGAGGAGCAGGTGAGGCCTGGGGGTAGGAGGGGAAACCAAGGCAGGCCAGTGGACAGCACCTTGGTTTACGCCCAGAGGGGCTGTGGGAGCAGACACAGCCTACGGCTGGACTCTCAGCCTTGCCCCATAGTAGCTGTGTGTGTGACCTGGCACTGGCCAGCAGCCTCCTCTGAGCCCTAGCTTCCACCCCGAAGGTCCTCGCACCTGCCTCCCTGGGCCATTGGCAGAGGCTTCAGCCAGAGTATGTGGTGGCTCATGCTGCCACGTTAGCAAATGGTGCTTTAGGCAAACAGATGACACATGCAAAGGCCCGGTGGTAGGGCACAGCACGCTGTTGTGGGAGGAGGGTGGGAGGAGCACGGGAGGGACCTCGAGCGGCCTTAATGGAGATGGGGTGGCAAGCAGGAGCTGGGACAGGGGCCCCGCACACAGAAGGTGTGCGATTCGTGTTGCCTTAGATTGAGACGGAGATGGGGAAGAAGACCCTCAGCAACCTGGAGAAGATCCGCGAGGACTACCGAGCCCTTCGCCAGGAGAACGCTGGCCTCCTGGGGCGGGTCCGGGAGGCCTGAGGAGCCCCCAGCACCGGTCTGCACCTGGCCTCGGGCAGGGAGTTGGGATGTCGGGGGCGATGGCCAAGCGCTTGCCCTAGCCGTTCCCTCTGTTGGCTGCGCTCCTCCTGCTACGGCCTTGGCCCCAGACCCCCGCCCACCTGACCCCAACTCTGATCTGGGGTGATCGTCCAGAACGTGGGAACTCGGCTGCAGTTTATTGGAGAGGGCACTGGGGTTAGGACCTTGGATCCCAAATAAACGAGGGGCTCTGTCTGCAGTCTAAGCTGAGGCCTGGATGGGGACACAGGGTTCAGGGCTGGGAAGGTGCGGCGGGCGGCAGGTGAGACATGGGATCTGTTCGGCGATTCCATGTGTGTGGCTGTGAAAGCCCACTTGGGACTCCGGAGACCCACTGGGGTGCCAAGTGCGTGTGCATGACATGAGATGCACGGGTGTGTTCTCGTGGGCTGCGTGAGCAAGCTGATGTTTTGGGGGCTGCGTGAGAATGTGCATGACTGGGGTGTGTTTGTGTGGCTCTTTGGGACGTGAGATCCTGAAGGTACCAAGGCTGCTTCTGGGCGGGGTCCTGGGCACAGCGCAGGTGAGGGCGGGGCGGGGGGGATGGCCGTGGGTGCGTGGGTTGACAGGACTGTGCTCAGGTATGATTGTCTGCGGGACTGCGGAGTTGAGGTTGCCCGAGGGTACTGAGGCAGGCTCTTTGTACTGTGTCCAAGGGACAGGGTTGTGGCTGTGTGTGTGTCTTGTCCAGCCCTGAGGTCATCTCTGAGAGCGACTGAGGCAGGCTGTGTGTGCTTGGTTGTGAAGGCTCAGTTTGGCTAAAGAGCTTGTTGCAGGAAGGTGGGCCGGTGGGCCGGGGGGCCGGGGCCCCTCTGAGCAGCCTTGGTGCAGAGCATACGATCTAGAAGGGTGGTCAGCTGAGGATCAGGGTCCCTGGCAGGCAAGACTGTGCACACCTCACTTCTTGGTCCCTGTGGGCACGTCCAGGGCCCGTCACCCCTGCCCCCGGCCACTTCCACCCCCCATTTTGGCCCCTGTCCTTCCTTCCTCCTTTCCTTGGTTTTGAGGTCAGGGGCCGGGTGTGGGGTTGGCGCTCCTGCTGGGCCTCTGGCTCCTCTTCTTGCGGAACTCGAACTCATCCACGGTCCACACGGCCCCCTTCTCGCTCTCCACCCGCACGAAGCACTTGTGCAGGCTCAGGTTGTGGCGGATGGCATTCTGCGGGAGGAAGGCCCGCCGGGCCGGGGGCGGGGGGTGGGTAGGCAGTCACTCTGACGTCAGCAGGACCCACCCCAAACCGGCCTCCCGCCCCTTTCCAACGTGTCTACAAGCCCGCCCCCCACTCCTGAGCTTGGCCCAGCACCCCAGTGGCATCGGAGGCCCCCCCAGCCACCGCCACTTCCAGAGGAGCCTACCTTCCAGGTGGCAGGGTGGTTCCTGAAGAAGGCAAACATGCGTGTGAACCAGTGGTAGATCTCGTTGAGTGTCCGCTGCTTCTCGGGAGCCTCCAGGATGGCCTGGAGGTTAGGGGGTCAGGGGGTCAGGGGGTCAGGGAGTCCCTTCCCCAAAGCTGGGCTGAGAGTGGCAGTGGCCCACCCTGGGTGTCTGACATGGGTGGAACTGGGGGGGGGGCAGGGGAAGGGAGGGAGGGAGACGGTGTGAGGTGATAGGTTAGAGACAGGGTTAGAAAGAGGGTGAGGTGGAGGGTCAGGGCTGAGGTTGCAGTAAGGTCTGGTTCAGGGTAGGGCCAGGATTAGGTTAAAGGTCTGAGATGGAGTTGGAGCTGGCCGCCTCCACAGAGGCAAGGTGTCAGGGTTCGGGAAGGTTGAAGGCCAGGAGTGGGGTCAAGTTAAGGATGTGGGAGGGGTAAAGGGCCAGGCAGAGTTAAAGGTCATCAGGGAAGGGGTTGGTTAAGGGTCTGGCTGGGGATGGACCGGGGCGAGTGGAGGGCTGAGGGATGGGATGGCATTAGGGTCAGGAATCAGAGGCAGACCTAGTGATACCGTTATTTTCTCTGTCAGGCATGTGGTTAGATTCAAGGTCAAGAATAAGGTTGGATGTGTGTGGTCGTTAAGGGTCAGGGCTTGTGTTAGGTGTGGAGTGAGGCTAAAGGTCAGGGAATTGGATCTGTTTGGATTTAGGAGTGGGGTTAAGCAAAGGGTCAGAGATTATGGCTGCAGTGAGGTTCTGGGTCAGGATGGGGCTAGGTAGGGGAATGCGTGGTATTGTGTAGGGGTTAGGTGTGGGCCTAGGGTCAAGGTCTGGGCAGGCTGTGATGAAAGTTCTGGGCAGCCATTAGGGAGATTCAGATGAAGGGGTTGGGATGGGGTGAGGCCAAGGGTCAGATAGGTGTCACAAGGAAGGGGTTAGAGGCAGGGTCCTGCCAAGGGATGTGTTGGCGTATTGGGGTATATGGGGGCCAGGGAAGGAGTTAGGATAGTGTCTGTGGTGGGTTTAGGGCAAGGGGCAAAGATCAGGTTCATCTGGGGGCTACTTTACAGATCTAGGAGGGGGTTAAGTATGGGGTCGAGGTGGGCATCAGGGAAGGGGGGGTGGGTGGAGGGCCAGAATTTGACTCGCACTGGCCTAGATAGTGGTTTCTGTTTGGGTTGGTGGGGGGGCCAGGTCTGGAGTGAAGCCAGCTTGGCGGGGGGGATCCTATCGGAGGCCTGGGTTCATGAAGGAGCCTGTTCTGGGGGCGCTCAGAAGGAGGCTGGGAATGTGGGAGGCAGGTGCCCACCCCCCATTTCTTTTCCTTCTCCTTGGCCCATGCTGCCGGCTTACCCAGCGGATGAGGGTCGCGTAGGTGAAGGGGGGCCGCATGTTGTGGAACTTGAAGTAGTCCATGTTGTGGAAGAACTCTGTAGGGGGTGGGGGAGGATTGGGTCTGTCCTGGAGCTCCTAGCTCCCTCTCCCATCCCCCACGCTACAAGGAGAGGCTACCCAGCTGAAATCCCTCCCTGACAACACCAGTTTTCACCCTCACGGTTACTGTGCTGAGCGCTGGGCATCGACCGTATCATTTACTGCTTGCACCACTCCCACCAAAATGGGCCTCATCGTCCCCGAAGTGTAAAAGAAGTGAAGTAACTTGCACACCAAAGGGATGCAAGCGGCTAAGTGGCAGAGGCAGGATGACACTCAAGGGCCCCGATCCATCTTAAGCCCACAGCCCAGGCCTTGCGGGCGGCCCAGGATGCGTGAGCTTGGGAGAATCACCCCGCTTTTCCTTGGAGGGGGAAGGGAGAGTCCCTGGGAAGCGTTTAGCTAGTTCTCTCCCTTTTGACGACCGAATGGAGTAGCCGAAGCCCGGAATGAGTGAGCCCCGGCCCCAGGGGAGATGGGGCTAGACAGGAGGAACCACAATGGCCGCGGGGGGCGGGTGGCGGTGCAGGGGGCTTGCAGGCCTTGGAAATGCTGAAAGGCAGCTTCTGCAAGCGGTCATGTTTTCCCAAAGGCTGGGTGGCAGTGCTGGGGAGGGTCGGTACTGGCTGTCTCCCACCCGGTGCCAGTCGGGGGGATGAGGGGCTCTGGGGGGGGGCGGGGGGGCATCACATAGGGGCACGGGCCGTCCTTACCCGGGAACGTGCTGTTTCCATGGCTGCCCCAGAGGTGCCTCCTCACAGCAAACAGGCCGTCGGGGGCCTCCTGGGGGCTGGGCCAGGCTGGGCCAGGGGCAGCCGGAGTACCTGCAGCTAGGATGCAGCAGGAGGAGCCCTTGTCCGATGACGCCTGCGGCGGGGGGGGGGGGGGGGTTGAGGCTGGTGATTCAGAGGCTTATGCTTTCCACTTCAACTTTAGGTAAGTGTGGTTGGTTGGTTTGTGTTTAAAGCAAGTGAGCTCTCTTCTCAAGTCCAGTCTGATGCGGAATCTCACAAAGCAGCATTGAGCCATATTTATTAGAGTGTGAGTGTGGACGTGCGCCCGTGTGTGTGGAGAGGCGCAATGCTGGGACCACGAGCTGGGGCTGAATCAGGCTCCCACCCCTTAGGGATGCTAGTAATTAATACCTATCCTGAGTGGCCTCATGAGGATTCGATAAACTCGCCCCAGCAGCGTGCTCAGGAACAGTGCCTGGCCCCCGGGGCCGGCTTCACCGGTGTGTGGCCCGTGTAATCACACAGGTCCCTGCCCTTTGTTTACTGCTCTGTGGGGGTCATTTGAAACCGGGGCCCCATGATTTTATTGTGCGCTGGTTCCTGCGTGTCGTATGGCCAGTCCCACCAGCGGCACAGGGTCTGTGTCCAGTAGATGCTTGGCGATTTGCCGTTGTTTTGAAAACCCAAGATCATGATGTTTCGGGATCTTGGGGTCAGAGGGCTTGTAATCGGAGGGGACAGGTTTCCAGGCCTGGGCACGTTTGGAGCTGGGGACAGGGGCCCAGAGTCGTAGGGTGTGGGTGTGAGGCTAAGTCCCCGCCGCCCCCCGCCAGCCACCTGTGGGCCTGGGGTGGCTCACCGTGGCTGGAGCTTTGGTCGGGGCCATCTTCCCAGCCAGGTGGGCCTGCATAGCGCCCAGCTTCTCCTTCTCCAGCACCAGCTGTGGGGACGGGGCACAAAGTGAGGCCTCAGCTTGGCCTTTCTCTGCCACATCCTGGCTCAGGCTGTGGTCCTTCCTGGGAGCGCCCTACCCCCTCCCTTCCTTTATGCCAGCCCCCATCCTGGGGGAGCTTGGCTCCTGGCACAGGGTGGACATAAGGCTCGCCCATCATCCCCCAACCACCCCTCTCCTACGTCACCTGCTGTTCCAGAGACTGCACCACCTCCCTCTGGAGGAGACATTGTGCCCTGCCCTTCTCGTCTAGGAGATGGTCCGCCTGGCAGTGCCTGGGTAGGGGGAGATTCCATGTGGGTGACCACGGCGGGTCTGGCCTCCTGGCTCAACACTCCGAGTGAGGAGAGCCAGACCCTTTGGGAGGTCTCTCCTCAGAGGCTCAGCCTCCCTCCCCTCTGTCTACCTCAAGTCTCCCTCTTACACCCGCTGTTCCTTCAACACACGCTACTTGGCATCTCCTGGTGCCAGGCCTGAGCTCGCCACTGGAGCCTGGCCAGGGTGCTGGAGACGATGTTGGAAGGCTGGCGAGCTGAGAGGTGGGGTGAGGTAGGCGAGGGCAGGAGAGGCACTCCAGGTGGAGGGGACAGTCTGTGTAAAGTCATGGTCATGAAGAGGACAGGGTGCAGAGTTGCCACCGATAGTTGGGTATGGTTGGAGAAGGGTTGTGTGTGTGTGTGCGCGCGCGCGTGCACGCGCGTGCGGTGGGACCGAGGGGAGGCAGCAAGAGCCACTGTGACAATTGGGGACTGTGGGTATCAATAAAATCAGGCTGGTGTGTTGGCAGGAGGGGTAGGGTAGCAGGGCAAAGCAGTTCGGAGTGTGGATTCTGGAGCCTGGCTGCCTGGATTCAAATCCCAGCTCTGTGACTTAGGAACTGGATGGTCTTGATCAAGACACTTGACTTTTTATGGCCTCAGTTTCTGTATCTGTAAAATGGAGGTAGGTACTAGTATACACCTCTCTTATGATGCCCCATTACACGGATGGGAAAACCAAGGCCCAGAGAAGCTAAGTAACTTGCCCAAGATCACACAGCCAGTGATAGGACCGGGATTTGAACCTACGGTCTTAGCCTTAGCCTTTTGCCTACTGGGATGAGGCCTGAGCTGGGACCTGTACCACAGGCCTCCTCCCACACACTGGGGACCCTCCTGGACTGGACTGGGCCTGGGTCACTCACTTGAGGAAATCCTCTGGCTCCTCGAAGACCTTCTCACAACCGGGCCACTTGCAGACACCATTTGCCAGCAGCGAGTAGGAGCCCTGGGGCACGGTCGAAAGGGCGCTAGGGGGACAGAGGGTGTAAGGGGAGGCAACGGCAGGGCAAGGGTCCTTCCCAGCCTGATCCACTGACCTGTCTTTCCTGGGTGTGCCGGGGCTTGGGAAGGTGCAGAGTAAGGCTGGCTCCCTGGACACCCACTCCAGGCTGGTCACGTTGATCCCTGCAGGTAGGGACAGGGCACCTTTGGGGACCGTGGGCTGGGCCCTCAAGCTCAGCCCACAGAGACTCTCCTTTTGAGCTTCCCACCCTCCTGAGCCTCGAAGGCCCTGACTCCCAGGCGGCTCTGTCGGCCCTAACATCCAAGGCTTCTGGGGGAGCAGGTCAAAGACTGCCATTTGCAAGCGCTGACATTTTGACTGCAAAGACCCGCGGCTCTGAGATTTTTGCCATTCATTCTGCACCTTCAAGGTTCTGAGCCTGACATTTTTTGGAGGCTGGAGTTTCCCAGATGGTAAGACCCGATGCGTCTGACCTCCTGAGGGCCGCCATTCAGCAGCCTACGTGGCTCCCACTCAAGCACTGGGGGGCTCGGGGTTCTGTAGAGCTGTGGGGCGGGGTGTTACCAGGCGGCAGGCCGGGCCGGGCCTTGAGGGAGAAGACGCTGGCGGCAGCAGTGGGTGGCGGCAGGCTGATCATAGCTGGGCTGTCCAGTGGGCGTACCTGCAGCACCGGGGTCCGAGCGTGGGTATTCACCGCTGAGAGCTGGGGGCACACGGGGGCTGTGGGTCCGCCTGTTCCCCCACCCCCCTGCCCAGTTCTCCCACCTGCTCCCGCCGCCCTGCCCATTCCGGGTCAGTACCTGGTGCATGAAGTGCGGCCTGTCCTGGAGGAGTGCCTGCAAGTGGGGTGAGGGGCCCAGCCGTGCCCCGGAGGGTGCCACCATGACTAGGGGCACTGTGGGCAGCTGGCAGGGGGGGAGAGAGAAGGCAGGCGGGTGAGATGGCATCCTGATCCTCACTGTTCTACATGTCTAGTTCATACACTTCTCACCACAAACCCACACGGTAGGTACTCTGATCATCCCGGTTTTACATATGGGGAAACTGAGGCTCGGGGAGAGCGAATGACTCTTTCAAGATCAAACAGCTAATAAGTGGCAGAGCTGGCCTCAACCGTGTCACCTCCCCTCTTTGGGCACTAGCCCTCTCCCCTGTCACACGGGGATGGGGACACACGGCCACGCCTGTGGGACTGTGATAGGAGCTCCTCTCCTGGGGCCGGGATTGGGAGGCCAGGGAGAGCCTCGAATCTCTTGAGACCTGCTAACTGGGGACTTTCTTGGCCCTGCGACATCTGCATAAGTCACAGACTTGCCTGGGACCCAGAAAACCACTTCCTGTGCCCCAGCTGGGCCCCCCGCCCCGTGCCACAGTAAAGGTCGGCACCTGTAGGCCCAGGTACCCCGCCCTGCCTGCCCCATCCTGGGCCCTGGGCCTCACCTGCAGCTGCGATGGTGGCATGGGGTTCAAAGAGGAGGAGGTGGGGGCATGGGCCCCGCCTCGGAGGTCCCGGCCCTGGAAAGTTGCCCCCGGGCCCTTGGCCCCAAGCAGGTCTGAAGCCTTGGGTGCAGCCCTCCAGCTGGGCGAGGCTCCCGGGGATGGGCCAAGCGCCAAGGAAGGGGCCGAGGGCTTGGTTGGCCTGGGGTTGGGCATTGGGTCCTTGTCCAAGGGCAGGCTGTGGGGACATAGGGGGAAGGAGTTACACGTGTGCCCAGCGGGGGTGTGAACTGCTCAACCACCTGAACCATGTGGACCCCCCCCACTCTGGTCAGAGCAGGCATCGGTGGGGGCCTGTCCCCAAGGGCTCCACGGCTGGACCCCAGCTCCGATCAGGTGTACGTGTGGCACACACGCACGCATCCATCGGTGTCAGGAACATAGGTGTGCGCGTGTTTCTGCACACGTCCCGTGTGCAGACGTGCCCGGGTCCAGCACTCAGCCTGCCCGTGCGTGCTGGCAGAGCCCTGGTGGGGATGTGTCCTCCACGAGGGAGGTGGGGGATTGGGGTCATTTGTGGGGTCTCAGCCACGGGCAGGTCTCAGTTTTTTTTGCCCCCAACCACTTAGGGCTTGTCTCCAAGCCTCAGCCCCCTGGTCCTCCCTGCACTCTGCACAGGCCACAACCTCTGCTGATGCTGCTGGGACTGGTGTCTGACTCTCCTGGTGGCATTATTTTATCCCAGTGACCTGGCATATACAAGGGTGGAGGGAGGCATGGACTCAAGATCCCTCTGGCTGCGGGGAGAGGGACAGAGTCCAGGAAGGCGACAGCAGGGGTACTGGCGAGGAGGCTGCTGTGACAGTCCAGGCAAGTGACAACGGTGGCGCAGACCAGGATGGTGCCAGTGGAGATGATGAGAAGTCGGTGGATCCTGAGTGTGCTTTGAAGGTGGAGTCAGGAGGATTTGCTCGCAGCTTGGATGGGGTGGGGGGTGGCGAGAGGGGGAGGGTCAAGGTGATCTCTGGCCCGGTGTTTGCCTGAGCAGTCTGGAAGGACAGAGTGGACATCACCTGAGCTGAAGGGGAGCAAGGTTGGGGGGCGACGATCCAGGTGTGGATGGACATGAAGAGTCTGGCGTTAGACACGCGAGTGGAAATCCTGAGTGGGCAGCAGAGTACGGGAGTCTCTGGAGCTCGGGCAGGGGCAGGGTCTGATCATCTCTGGGCTCCTGCCTTGCATGAAGCTGACATGGCAAGTGTCGGGGAGGAGGGTTGGGCGCTCTTGAGCCAGGGCCCGTGGGAGCATCTTGACTCAGCCCCCGCCAGAGTTTACCCCAAGTCTGCTCTCCAAGCCTGTGCTCATGCTATATGGCCCTGCCTGGAATGTCTGCTCTTCCTCCGTATCCCCTATCCGGGCCCTATCCAGAAAGCCCTCCGTAATGGCTCCAGGCTCCTTCACTGAGCCCCAGAACCGAACACTGCGACAGGCAGGGCTTCCGTTCCTCAGAATCCCAGTCTAAGAGGAAGCCGGAGCTGGAAGGGACTGCCTAGTCCAGCCACCATTTTACTGAAGGGGACACCCAGGTGCAGTGTTCCACAGTCCCACGGCAACCTGAGAGCTCCCTATGTTTCCCCAGAAAGTGCGTGTGTGTGTGTGTGTGTGTGTGTGTGTGACTCCCCACCCCACCCCACAGCACTAGGTCGGGCACACAGCTGCCAAGAGCGGCCCAAACTGGCACAAGGAGGGTTTAGGAGAGCAGTTGCACCTTCCTTTCTTTGCTGTCAGCTCACAGGGCCTGTCAGAGCTCTGGTGCGGAGGGGGGTGGGGGTGAGAATCCAGGTATTAAACTCAGTCTCCCCGGGGAGCGTAGAACATTGCTGTGTGAGAAGCAAGAGCCTGGATCTATGGAGGCTCAGAACTCAGTGACCACGAGGAGGTGAGCAAATGAATGACGGCGGAGATCGGGGGTGAGGCTTCTAGAAGCCAAGGCATGCCAAAGACTGCCAGCAATCCACCAGTAGCTAGGAGGCACGGACAGATCCTCCCTTGTAGCCTCAGAAGGAGCCAGCCCTGCCGACACCTTGATCTCGGACTTCTGGCCTCCAGAACTGTGAGACAATAAATTTCTGCTGTTTGAGCAGCCCCCTCCCCCCCCCGCCCCCAGCTTGTGGTAATTTGTTACAGAAGCCTGAGTAAACGAATACCGACTTTGGTCTCCGCCACTCTGGCCTGGCCCACACGGCTGGCCCGTGGTCACTTCTGAAGCTGTCGGGACACTTGGCTGGGGCTTATAAGAAATGTCTTCCTCAAGCACATCTGGAATGTCCAGCCTCAGGGAAGCACAGGTACATTCTCAGAAAGGGGACATAGATATGGTCTGTCTGGTGGTGGGGAACCTGGAGGGCCGGGCTGGGCAGCCAGCTTCCTGCACTGTCTGTCGGGGCGTCCCTTTCTGACTGTTTCTCAGAAGCTGCATGGAGGATGTTTCTGGGACACAGAATGTGTTTTCATATCGGGGTCTGCATCTGGGCCCTGTTGTCACGTCCCCAGATTTTCCGCCATTGACGTCATGGCGGCCGGATGCGCTGGGCTTCATCGGCACCAAGGAGAAGCAGATACCCCACCCCACGGGTTTCGTTCCGAGAATTAGCTGGCCCATCCTGCAGCCATCTCGGCCCAGGTGGGAGTGATGTGGGTGCTTGCGGATGTGGTGAGTGACGTCCATCTGGCCACCATGACAAGTCCTGGGCCCTGTAGACTTGGGCCATGGAAAGGCCAAAGGTTTGATGCTTGGGGAGTACCATGCAGATCCTACAGCTACTGGGACCCTGGGGGTCTTCAAATGGTACTATGCCAGAACCTCAGAATCATAGAACATCATTTCTTAGGTTCAAAGGATCCCAGAATCTCAAACCCACTCTGTGGGGTCCATGGGTCCAACTTCACAGAAGGTGAAGGCCAATGTCAATGGTGTCCAAACTCACTGGAACTCCCTGAAGGACAGGCAGCTCACTACCCCACAGGGCCTCTGGCCCACCAGGCTTAGAATTGTAGCAAGACTCCCCTTAGCTTCCCTCCTAAGTTCTGTGACAGCAGGAGGGTCAGAATCATCTCCTCTACTCCCCCCAGCCTGGGGCTGGGCTCTGTCACTAACTAGCTATAACTCCCCGCGGGCTCATATGTAAACTGGGACAGTAATCGTACCTCTTGTCCAAAGTTAATGCACATGAAATGCTTAACAAAATGTCAGTGATGGTAAATGAACACCTACAGGGCCTCAGTCTCCCTGTTTATTCTGGGACAATGTTCCCATACTCACAGCCATTCCACAAGAGATGGGGAGGGAAAGAGGGAGAGGTAGAGGCCAGCATGCCTCTGGCTAGGGCCTTATGGTGGGGAACAGGAAGAGCCTTGGCCAGTAGAGAGCCCGCTGCCAGGCTCTCTGGAGGGGCCCGAGGACAGACGTTCCCAGGACCAGTGCCAATTCTGGGGACACGGTTGAACTCTATCCACTGCATATCGCCCTTCAAGACTGATTGACTTATCCTTCCAGTATCACTACCCTCTGGCCACAAGGCCTTCTGACCCATGGGACCCTGGGACCCCACCCAGACTAGCTCTTGGGAGGTTGGGCCCCACACTGGCCCATGTGGCCACAGAGCCTCCTGCCTGAGTAAGGATCCAAGTTGTAAGAAGGCAGGAGGGGGAATGACAGCAGCTGGTGGTGGGGGGCAGCTCAGGTCCCCCTCCTCCCCTCATGGGTGCTGAGAAGTAAACGGAGGCCCACAGTGGGGGAGAGAGACAGAACTGGGGTCCCGCCAAGAGTCCCATGGTCTGAGCTTGGGTCTCAACTTTGCTACTCCATCCCTGGGAGGCCTTGGGAGAGGCCTTCCGGCCCATCTCCAGGCTTCAGTTTGCTCCTGTGTACACTGGGCAGAGAGAGGCTTGGAGCAGATGAGGGCCAGGGCCCTTCCACTTTGTGTCTAGGTGACCTGTTATGTGTCTGCAGGGCGTCGAGTCGACAACTGCCCCTCCATCCAGGGGACTGGCTGAGAGACAGGGATACATAGAGACAAAGAGACAGAAACAGAGAGAGACAGACAGATAGACACAGGGGAACACAAAGACCCAGAGAACAAGAGATACAGAGAGATGGGAGAAACATGAGGTGGGACAGAGATACACAGAGAGTGAGAGATGCTGAGAGAGAATGAGAGAGAGAGAGAGAATGGAGGGGAGAGGAACTCAAAGGAGCAGAAAGTCCTAGAAGTATACACAAGGAGGGAGAGAGAGGATGAGAGAAACAAAAAGAATAAGAGAACAGCACAGGGAGATGGAGAGAGGGAGAGAGAGTGAGAGATGCCCCAAATAGAGACAGAGATAGAGAGACAGAGGGAAACAGAAAGAGAGCGAGAGAGAGAGAGAGAGAGAGAGAGAAAGAGATGGATGCCTCAAACAAGAACAGTTGTTGATCTCTGGCTAGAGGAACTGAGGCTGCGTTAAATAACAAGGAAAAGTGAAGGGCAAGATGCTGAGGGGGGGCCTGTGGTCAGGGAATGTATTGTACTACAAAGCAACTGTCAGCAAAGTGGTATGGCTCAGACACTGAGGAACAGAACAAAACAGAAAGCTCAGTCACAGACCAACGTCTAGAGAGAAGTGAGTTCGTGATGAATGTGGCATTTCAACCCGGGAGACGGTGAAGGATATACTATTTGACAAATGCTTCTGGGAACTTTAAGGGAAAAATAAAGTTAGTGAATGAATAATCAGTCCATTTTCCTACCAGTTCCTCTCTGCCCAGTTTGAAATGTCACCAATCATCATATACCCTGAAACACATTCCAGATCTATTAAAGAGATAAATAAGAATATCCAATAGTGCTCTTGGGTTTCTTGTATGTCAGGCCCTATGCTAAGCACTTAACGTGGTTAGTACATTTAATCCTCACAACAACTCTTTGAGGTAGGTGCTACTGTAATCATCACAGTCCATATGAGGAAATGAAGGTACAGACAAGTCAAACGCCAGGCTAAAAATCACACAGATGGCTTGGGGTGAGGTTGGGTTTGTCCCAGACAGTCTGGCTCCAGTACCCACACTCTTAACCTCCACAGCAAATGGAAAAAATGAAGCCATAGAAGAGACTAGAAGCCAACACAGGTGAACATTTATCTCATTTTCAAGTGGGAAAGGACTTTCTAAGCACAAAACCAGAGACAGTAACCACAGAAGAAAAGAGTAACCCATTTGACTATATAAAAACATCATAGTATCACAAAACTCCATAAACAAATAGAAACAGTGAGTGATGAATTGGGGGAAAATATCTGCTATACATGTATGGCTATTGGAAGGTTAATATCCTTTCTAAATAAAAAGCTGTGACAAATCAATAAGAAAAAAAATGATGAACACCCCATTGGGACTAAGGATATGACCAGACAACTTAAGAAAAAATACAAATGATGAATAAATAGTATAAGTAAATCAAAGAATGCAAATGTCAACAACGTGGTAATATTTTTTCTTACCTGGTATGCTGAGGGAGGATTTAAAAATGATAATACCCACCCAGGGTTAGCTTGAGTACAAGAAGCTTATAACAGGACAGCCTTTTGGAAGAACGATATGCAGAGAGGGTCAGACACCTTAAAAATGCACACGCCCCTTGTCCCAGCAACTCCATTTTCAGGAATCCAAGGAAGTAGTCAGGGATGATTATGGGGGAAAGAACTAGAAACAATCCAAATGTCCAGGAATTGGCATTTGGTCGAACCAATCGTGGTTCATACCAGTGTGAGGACAGTCTTGACAGCCATGAAAGATCCTATGTTGAAACAATTTTTAGTGATCTACAAAGACGCTCTTATTAATTGAATAAGGCAGGAAGAAAACCAATAGAGAGAGTGGTTCTAATTTGGTTAAAAAAAAAAAAATACTAACAGCTAACAGTGAGCGCTTGCTAAGCCTGCAGAGATGAGCTCGCCCCAGCCCTGAACAGCCTGCTTGGTTCCTGGACACGGACTCTGGACACACACACACACACACACACACACACACTCACGCACACATGGTCCCGGGGTAGGACCACACAGTTAAACTACGATTGACGGTGGCACAAAGTGCCTCCCAGGAGGTCCTCTCGTGCCATGCAAGCCCAAGTTCAACTGAGCGCTCAGCCTGACCTGACAGCTCACTATCCTCCTTCGATCGGGGCAAACAGAACTCTGGTAAAATGGAAATGTCCTCATCGACGTTACTCAATCCACTATTATTAGGCACCAATTGTACAAAGCTCTGTGCTGGAAGCTGGTGGGGGGAAGGCTAGACAAGAGAGCAGGAGAGACAGTGGGAGAAAGACGGAGGAAAGGAGATAGAGGGAGCGTGGTGAAGATGGAGGAGACAGAGACAGGGAAGCTGGGCAGAGCCAGAGAAAGGGCGGTGGAGGGTCTGAGTGCCGGGGAAACGGTGGGCGGGGGGGGGGGGGCGCAGAGCGACACGAAAGAGGGAGACAGGGCGAGCAGACAGAGAGGGATGGGAGCTATCAAGAGACAAGAGGTGAAGAGGACGGAGGGGTGTAGTTGAAATTTCCAGTTACACCTGGGCAGTTTCAAGTTGTTCCAAGCTCTGAAATTTGTAAAGACTGGCAGTTGGCCTATTTAAAAAAAAAAAATCCTGCCCATCTACATAGCAATCAATTTATTTAACGTTGCCTCTGCCCACGCATCGATTAAGCACTTTCCCAGTCTGCCGGCATTTATTATTACTATTATTATTGTAAAAAAAATCTCTTACCTGGCTGAGCCGCAGGAGCTGTGTGTGTCTTGACGGTAACGGAGGGCCCCCGACCCCCCCCTCCCCGGCCCGTGCCTGCCTCACTAACCATCTCCTCCACTGGACCCGCATCTGATGGAGGAGAGCGGGGACACTCACCTTGGTGAAGTGGACTGACAGAAAAGGATCAGCCTGGCTTGTGGGAAACTGTCACATATCAAAAACAACTTTGCTTTTATACCGAGAAGAAAAACCACGGTGTGGAAGCCACAGACCTCTCTCTCTCTCTTCTAATAATCCAATTTTTTTTTTTCGATGAGTGTGTGTGCTGATAATCACGGGGTGGGGGGGGTTCTCATAGTTTTTTCTCTCTCTTGCTCTCTCTCTCTCTCTCTCTCTCGCGTGCTCTGTTTCTCCTCTTCTTGATTATGAGACTTAAACGGAAATTTTGAAATTTTGGGTTTTTTCTTTGCCCTTTACGAGTCATCTGAAAATATGATTTCTTCCTCTTGCCACAGAGGTGAGAGGTATCAATGAGATAACAGGGCTCATGAGAAACCACAGTTTTTTACACAAAAGTGTGTAGAGTTAGAAAAAAAAAAAAAAAACAAGGGAAAAAAAAAAAACTCAAATAAATCACGGAGGTGTCCCAAGCAGGCAGAGATACCACTCTGTGAATGTGATGGGACGGGAAAAAAACCAGGGAAAGAAACTGAATAGGGCTGGGTTTCCAGAGGCTTTGCCCTGCTCCATGCCTATTTCCCCTTAGGTAGAATTGATGGTCATCACTGCTCTTACTGCCCAAGGAGGGGGAGCTCTGCAATCCATCTCCCCACAGAGGGGGGCATGGAAGTTATTTCACAGAGGAAAATGCACAAGTCACAGAATCTAACAGTCTGAGAATTACTGCCTCCCAGAATCCACTTAGCATCACTGAGTGAGGAGAGGGAGAAAAGTCTCGCCTCATAACATCGTAGGGCCTGAGAGCTCTAACCTGGAGGGTACCCTACAGGGAAGGTCCTGATGAGGCCCCCGGTGTTAATGCATCCGTCCTCACGAAGCCCAGAGGCCCCTTAGGGCCCCGACCCTCTCCTAGTCAGGGACACCATGACCTGATGCTTCTGAGGCCCTCAGCCTTTGCGATTTTCTACTTTGAAAAATCCCAGTTTCCAAGGTTTTCAGATGCCATATATCCATCATCATCCCCATAGCTGACATTTATCTCCAATTTTCCACAAGCCAGACACCGTGCTGGACGATTCTCCCAAGTGATCACATTCAATCCTCACCACAGCCCTTTGCGGTCCATCTTGTCATCATGGCCGTTATACAGATGGGGAAAACAGAGGCGCGAAGTAGTCGAGTGACTTGCCCAAGATGACAGAGCTGGCAAGTGGGGGCTCTGCCTTCTTTGGTGCTGGGCGGGCTTAAAAACCCCCAGGTTTCCTTGGGCCAAACAGTCTTGGGTCTTAAATTCTAGGCTGCAGTGACAGGGAAGTTCTGAGATTTGGAGATTCCTCTGGGGGCTTGAAGCTTGTGAGGTTTTATGGTTGTCCAAGAATTGGTGCTGCATTTCCATACTTGAGCAGTAGCCCCCTTTAACCAGTGGTCAGCAGGGGAGACCGGGCCCCAGGGGCTTCTCCTGAGAGGTCATGGCTGCCGCTCCCAGCCCCCGGCTCCTCAGCGCCCTGCATGGCCCAGGGTTCTGTCATCCAACGTCTACTCCAAGCCCTCTGCAAGACTGGCTTCAGGCCTGGGGGAGAGAAATTGGAAACCGCTTTTTATTCACATGGTACCAACCTAGTGGCCAAGACCCACCCCTTTGCCCCTTCACCTTCCCCGCTCCCCCCCACCCACTTCCCAAGCCCTGAAAAAAAGGAGAGCCTCTTTCCTTAACTCTGACTCACCTTTCTGGAAAAGCCCAGAGGGGGCCTGATAGTCTGGCTTTGTGAAGATAAGAAAAAAAAAAAAAAAAAAAAGGGAAAAAAAAAAAAAAAAAAAAAAAAAAAAAAAAAAAAAAAAAAAAAAAGACCTAAAAAAAAAATCAGCCAACAACAATTAAAAAAAAAAAAAAAAAAACCCAACCCTCCCTACCATTAGTTCAAAACAAAACTTTCACTGGTTGAGGTTTCTGAGTTGGTGGGACATGTCTGAGACCCAAAGACGGCCTGTGTGCACTGGGCAGCCAGAGGAGGCACCAAAGTGGGATGAGGTCCTCAGGTTGGAGGCTTGCAAGGGGCTTAACAGGTGTGGCATGTGGTTGGGAGCAAGTGGGTGTGAGGCGCTTGTTCATCAGGAGTTTTGGGGAGCTACCTTTAGGATGTTCCCAAGGCTAACGTTCCCTTGCTCTGCATGGACTTGGGTCTGAACCTTCCTTATACTTCCTGTAGAACTATAAACTAGGCCAGTTCTAGAGGCTGAAGCCTCATTCCTTGCCCCAGGACCTGTCCCCTTTCGAGAGAGGGGGCTGGTTTTCTTTTATAGGGTCAGAGGTGTGTGCTGGATCCTCTTTATACCCTCCCTAGACAATCTCTCCCTTACCATCATTTGCTCCAGGAGAGGAGTGGCCAGAGAAGTAGGGGGATGACTGAGTGAAGGTGGTGGCCCAGGGTTCCAGGAGGTCACTTGAGGGGGACTCGGGGTGTGTGGGGGGGGTGATGCTGCTGCTGCTGAGAGCCAGGACCCTTGCAGAGTAAGGGCTGGGGGGTTGAGTGGGCAGAGAGGGGCAGAGCTCACCACCTCCTCTCCGTACTGGACTATATCCTCTTGTGTGGAAGGCCTCTGGGGGAGAGTACACAGGATTACACAGACAGGTCTGTGAGAGTCCCCAGAGAAGCGGGGGTGGGGGGGCTTTGACAGACTCGAAGGAGGTGAGGGATGGAGCCATGGAGATATCTGAGTGATTCCAGAAGAAACAGCCAGCTCAGAGGTCCTGAGTGGGAGTGTGTGATTTGCTCGAGGTCTACGAAGGCGGTCAGTGTGGTTAGAGTGGTGTGAGCGAGAGGAAGAGCGGTAGAAGGTGAGGTCAGAGAGGAGACGTGGGGCTTAGACCCTGCAGGACTTTGTAGCCCATGGTAAGGACTTTGGCTTTTACTCTGAGTGAGGAGGAGGCCACAGGAGAGTTGTGAGTAGAGAAGAGACATGAACTGCCTTAGGATTTAAGAGGATCCCTCTAACTGCAGAGTATGGAACAGACTGTAGGAGTGAAGATGGAAGCAGGGGCACCAGACCTGAGGAGGCTACTGCAGTAGTCCAGTGACTGATGATGGTGCTGGCAATGGAGGGGGTGAGGGGAGGCTGGATTCACGAAACATTCTGAACGGAGAGTGCCCAGAATTTGCTGAAGGCTGAGAGCCTTGGGGCCAGACCCGGACACAGATAATGCCCTAACTAGAAGTAAGAAAAAACCCCTCCAATTCTATCTTGTTTAAGCCCCTATTCTTTTGTGATTTTTTTTTTTTCCCGTTGCTTGCAACTGAACATATTCCTTCCTGATCCATGACCTCACTCTGGACACTGAGACCTGAGGAGGGGGAGGCTACTGGGGGGACCTCCTCTCTCCTCAGGATGTCGCGTGTCAGCACCTTGCATACAGTAGGTGTTTGGAAAACCCTCCCAGGATGGAGGGGAAATGTACGAAGGGCCATGCTCAGTGGACAAAGCTACATTTCAGTTCCCACAGGAGGCAGGACCTCAAAGGAGAGTGAAAGGGTGAGGAAGCAGGAGCAGCGCTGTGGCAGAGGGAACGGCAGGAGCAGAGATGGGGGACAGAAAGAGGGAAGTGAGGCCACTTTGGGGTGTGGAGTGCCAGTGGGGCAAGAAAGGCAGGACTTTGGTTTGTGATTACATTAGATGTCTACCAACGTGTCCAACCAACTCCTGGCGCCATACAGTCAGGCTCAGTGTTTTGCTGAGCTGAAGTCTGAAAAAGCTCATTTTCCAGAAAAGGTCAATTTTTCATTTGGCCATTCATTCAACAATGGTGCCAAGTCCTGGAGAATGCTGAGGGTGACAATCAAGAACATTCTTGGCTAGTGGCATTGCCCAAGCAAAGGTTCCCAGGTGGGCAGGAAAGACCCAGTTACTGCGACAGGAGAGTCCGTTTTGCTTTCTTAGACCTCACACTAGGGTGCAGTCTAGGTCTTCAGGGACTCTGGGCATTCACAGCCCTGGAGCAAGGAGAAGTCACGGAGGGCTAAGGAGATGGTATATCCAACCACAAGAGGCATACTCTTCCCAACGGCTGCGTGCACTTCAGAGCTCTGCGGCCCAGCCACCCTACAGCCCAGACCGCCTCCTCTGGCCTCTTTATTGGCTGTTCCATCCCCTCCTTCACACAACCTCCAACACCCCGGTTGGCTCTGCTCTTGCCCGTTCCGCCTCCGTGTCCTTCCATCCCGCTAGACTTCGCAGCCTTGGCATTGGTTCATTTCGTTCTAGCCCTACCCTTTGAGGTCTCAACTGCCTTGATTCTGGCTCCCTCATTGGCTAGCCACCATCTCTCTTCCTAGCTCCCGCCTTCGCCGTCCACCCCCATTGGCCCTGCCCCTCCAGTCCCGCCTCCGAGGCCCTTACACCGCCTCTTGGGTCTCTTTCTAGCCTTCGTATTCGCTAGTTCAGCCCTAGCACCGCCTCTTGAAGGCATAGTGTAAGCTCACACGACTCCCCACCGGCTCGCTGTAGCCGTTATCTTTTCGTCATCTCCTCTACGCCACCGGCGCGTGGCTCCCCATTGGCTGTTCGCGGTCTCTGTCTTCGTGTCCCAGCGCCTACGCAACCGAGGGATCTCCTGCTTTTCGGGCCGCTCCGTTCGCTCCCCGCTGCCCCCATCGCCTGTAGTCATTCCATTTTCCCCGCCGCACACATGCCGCTCCCGCTCACACTCCCGCACTAGCTGTACTACTTTTTCTCTTTCCATGCCGGACCCCGCACCACCCGCATTTAGGCCTCCCCATTGATTCCCTGATCCTCCCGCCTCCTGCACCGCCCACTCTCGGGCATCCCCATTGGCTGCGTGCTTCTCCCGCACTCGCTTCACCGCTACGTCATCCGTGCGCGGCTCCCTATTGGCTTTCTGCTATACCTGTCTTCGTCTCACCGCCTACAGCCCCCGTGAGCCATACCCCCCCGCGCTGGCCTTCCCATTGGCTGCCCGCCCCTTCAGGCCCTGCCCCCGCCGGTCCC